AGTGAAACCATATGATAATTGACTCTCTCTGCTTGACTTATTTCACACAGCATAATCACTTCCAGTCCCGTCCATGTTGCTACAAAAATTGGGTATTCATCCCTTCTGATGGAGGCATAATACTCCATAGTGTATATGGACCACATCTTCCTTATCCATTCATCCGTTGAAGGGCATCTTGGTTCTTTCCACAGTTTGGCAACCATGGCCATTGCTGCTATAAACATTGGGGTACAGATGGCCCTTCTTTTCACTATATCTGTATCTTTGGGGTAAATACCCAGTAGTGCAATGGCAGGGTCATAGGGAAGCTCTATTTTTAATTTCTTAAGGAATCTCCACACTGTTCTCCAAAGTGGCTGCACCAACCTGCATTCCCACCAACAGTGTAAGAGGGTTCCTTTCTCCAAATCCTCTCCAACACATGTTGTTTCCTGTCTTGCTAATTTTGGCCATTCTGAGTGGTGTAAGGTGGTATCTCAATGTGGTTTTAATTTGAATCTCCCTGATGGCTAGTGATGATGAACATTTTTTCATGTGTCTCATAGCCATTTGTATGTCTTCATTGGAGAAGTGTCTGTTCATATCTTCGGCCCATTTTTTGATATGATTATCTGTTTTGTGTGTGTTGAGTTTGAGGAGTTCTTTATAGATCCTGGATATCAACCTTTTGTCTGTACTGTCATTTGCAAATATCTTCTCTCATTCCGTGGGTTGCCTCTTTGTTTTGTTGACTGTTTCCTTTGCTGTTCAGAAGCTTTTGATCTTGATGAAGTCCCAAACATTCATTTTTGCTTTTGTTTCCTTTGCCTTTGGAGACATATCTTGAAAGAAGTTGCTGTGGCTGATATCGAAGAGGTTACTGCCTATGTTCTCCTCTAGGATTCTGATGGATTCTTGTCTCACATTGAGGTCTTTTATCCATTTTGAGTTTGTCTTTGTGTACTGTGTAAGAGAATGGTCGAGTTTCATTCTTCTACATATAGCTGTCCAATTTTCCCAGCACCATTTATTGAAGAGACTGTCTTTTTCCCACTGTATATTTTTTCCTGCTTTGTCGAAGATTAATTGACCATAGAGTTGAGAGTCCATATCTAGGCTCTCTGCTCTGTTCCACTGGTCTGTGTGTCTGTATTTATGCCAGTACCATGCTGTCTTGATGATCACAGCTTTGTAGTAAAGCTTGAAATCAGGTAACGTGATGCCGCCAGTTTTATTTTTGTTTTTCAACATTTCCTTAGCGATTTGGGGTCTCTTCTGATTCCATACAAATTTTAGGATTATTTGCTTCAGCTCTTTGAAAAATACCGGTGGAATTTTGATTGGAATGGCATTAAAAGTATAGATTGCTCTAGGCAGTATAGACATTTTAACAATGTTTATTCTTCTGATCCAAGAGCATGGAATGGTCTTCCATCTTTTTGTGTCTTCTTCAATTACTTTCATGAGTGTTCTGTAGTTCCTCAAGTACAGATCCTTTACCTCTTTGGTTAGGTTTATTCCCAGGTATCTTATGGTTCTTGGTGCTATAGTAAATGGAATCGATTCTCTAATTTCCCTTTCTGTATTTTCATTGTTAGTGTATAAGAAAGCCACTGATTTCTGTACATTGACTTTATATCCTGCCACGTTGCTGAATTGTTCTATGAGTTCTAGTAGTTTGGGGGTGGAGTCTTTTGGGTTTTCCATATAAAGAATCATGTCATCTGCGAAGAGAGAGAGTTTGACTTCTTCATTGCCAATTTGGATACCTTTTATTTCTCTTTGTTGTCTGATTGCTGTTGCTAGGACTTCTAATACTATGTTGAACAAGAGTGGTGAGAATGGGCATCCTTGTCGTGTTCTTGATCTCAACGGGAAGGCTGTGAGCTTTTACCCATTGAGGATGATTTTTGCTGTGGGTCTTTCATAGGTAGATTTTATGAAGTTCAGGAATGTTCCCTCTATCCCTATACTTTGAAGCATTTTAATCAGGAACAGATGCTGGATTTTGTCAAATGCTTTTTCTGCATCAATTGAGAGGACCATGTGGTCCTTCTCTTTTCTTATTAATTTGTTCTATCACATTGATTGATTTGCGAATGTTGAACCATCCTTGTAGCTCAGGAATGAATCCCACCTGGTCATAGTGGATAATCTTTTTAATGTTCTGTTGGATCCTGTTTGCTAGGATCTTGTTGAGAATCTTAGCATCCATATTCATCAGTGATATTGATCTGAAATTCTCCTTTCTGGTAGGGTCTTTGCCTGGTTTGGGGATCAAGGTAATGCTGGCTTCATAGAAAGAGTCTGGAAGTTTTCCTTCTGCTTCAATTTTTTGAAACAGCTTCAGGAGAATAGGTGTTATTTCTTCCTTGAAAGTTTGGTAGAATTCCCCAGAGAATCCATCACGTCCTGGGCTCTTTTTTTTTTGGGGGGGGGGAGGTTTTGGATCACTGCTTCAATCTCATTACTAGATATCAGTCTATTCAGGTTGTCAATTTCTTCCTGGTTCAATTTTGGGAGTTTATAGTTTTCCAGGAATGCATCCATTTCATCTAGGTTGCTTAACTTGTTGGCATATAACTGTTGATAATAACTTCTGATGATTGTTTCTACTTCCTTGGTGTTAGTTGTGATCTCTCTTTTTTTATTCATAATTTTATTAATTTGAGCTTTCTCTCTTTTCTTTTGGATTAGTGTAGCCAATGGTTTATTGATCTTATTGATTCTTTCAAAAAAAACCAGCTTCTAGTTTCATTGATACGTTCTACTGTAACTAGTTTCTACCTCATTGATCTCTGCTCTAATCTTGATTATTTCTCTTCTTATGTGTGGAGTTGGTTTGATTTGTTGTTGATTTCCAGTTCTTTAAGGTGTAGAGACAGCTGGTGTATTCTGGATTTTTCAGTTTTTTTGAGGGAGGCTTGGATGGCTATGTATTTCCCCCTTAGGACTGCCTTTGCTGTATCCCATAGGTTTTGGACTGAAGTGTCTTCATTCTCATTGGTTTCCATGAATTGTTTCAGTTCTTCTTTGATCTCCTGGTTGATCCAAGCATTCTTAAGCAAGATGGTCCTTAGCTTCCAGGTGTTTGAGTTCCTTCCAAACTTTTCCTTGTGATTGCGCTCCAGTTTCAAAGCATTGTGATCTGAGAATAGGCAGGGAATAATCTCAGTCTTTTGGTATCAGTTGAGTCCTGATTTGTGACCCTGTATGCGGTCTATTCTGGAGAAGGTTCTATGTGCACTTGAGAAGAATGAGTGTTCTGTTGGTTTAGCGTGGAATGTTCTGTATATATCTATGAGGTCCATCTGGTCCAATGTGTCATTCAATGCTCTTGTTTCTTTATTGATTTTCTGCTTGGATGACCTGTCTATTACTGAGAGAGGTGTGTTAAGATCTCCTACTATTAATGTATTCATATCAATATGACTCTTTATCTTGATTAATAGTTTTCTTATATAATTGGCTGCTTCCATACTAGGGGCATAGATTTTTACAATTGTTAGATCATCTTGGTGGATAGTCCCTTTAAGAATGATGTAGTGTCCTTCTGTATCTCTGACTACAGTCTTTAGTTTAAAATCTAATATATCTGATATGAGAATTGCTACCTTGGCCTTCTTTTGAGACCCATTGGCATGAAAAATGCTTCTCCATCCCTTCACTTTCAGTCTGGGTTATTCTTAGGTTCAAAATGGGTCTCTTGTAGACAACATATGGATGGGTCCTGTCGTTTTATCTAATCTGCAACCCTGTGTCATTTTATGGGCGCATTTAGGCCGTTCACATTGAGAGTGATTATTGATAGATACGTTTTTATTGACATCGTGTTACCTTTGAAGTCTTTCTTTCTGTAGATTGTCTCTATATTTCTGTTCAATGAAACTTTTAAAAAGAATGAAGAAAAATGAACAGAGCCTCAGTCTGTAGGAACCCCATCACGTGAACAAATACACAGATAAATGAGTCAAGTAAAAGGAGGAAAAGAAAAAAAAATTTGAAAAGATAATGACCTAAATATTTTAAAATTTGATTTAAAAAAACATCAGTTAGTACATTAAAGCACTTTGATGAGTTCCAAGGAGGATAAACTCAGACACAGAGCTACACATATAGTCAAATTGTCAAAAGACAAAGAATAAATCTCGAAAGCAGCAGCAACAACCACAAAAAACAACTCATCATCTACAAGCCTCCTTAAAATGATTAATATCCCTTCTCAGAAATCATGAAGCCTAGGGTTGCCTGGGTAGCTCATTTGGTTGAGCATCTGACACTTGATTTTGGCTCAGGACATAATCCTAGGGATATGATATCAAGACCATCGTCAGGCTCCACACTCATTGGGGAAGCTGTTTAGATTCTCTCATTCCCTCTACCCCTCCCCACCCCACCCCCATAAAATAAAGAGAAATCATGAAGCCTAGAAAGTAGTAGAATGATGTATTCAAAGGAAAAAATAGATAATTCAATAATAACAGACTTGAATCTTCAATAACACCTTATTTATGGATAGAACAATAAGGAAATGGAAAATTAAAATATGCTATCAACTGACTAGATTTAATAAGCATCTATACAATATTCCAACCAATAATAGAACGTACATTTTTCTCCCAAGTACATGTGGTACATTCTCCAGGATAAACCACATATACGTCCATAAAATAAGCCTGGATAAATTTAAAAGGATCAATACTTATAAATTTATTCTCCAACCATAAAGTGATAAAATTAGAAATTAGTAACAGAAGGAAATTTGGGAAATCCACAAACATGTGAAAATTAAACAACATAGGCATAAGTAGTCAGAGGTCAAGGAGAAAAACCACTTATAAGTTAGACAGTAAATCATGATAAATAAAAATGAAAACATAAAATACTAAAACTTATATAATGTCACAAAAGCAGTTGCTTAGAGGGAAATTTATAGCAATAGGTATTGATTTAACTTAAAAAGAAGAAATATTTAAAATCAACCACCTAATCTTCCACTTAAGAAACTAGAAAAATATTGCTTCCTTTGGCAGTACATTTACTAATTTAGAATGATACAGAGATTAGCCTGACCCCTGCAAAAGGGTGCCATGCAAATTTGTGAAGTGTCCCATATTTAAAAAAGGATAAAAGAGCAAGTTAAGTAAGTAGAAGAAAGAAAGATTATAATAGAAATAAGTGAAGTGAATAATAGAAAAATGTGGGAGAAAATCAACAGGACTTTATTTCTTGAAAAATCAACAAAATAGACAAACCTTTACCTAGAGTAACCAGGAGAAGGAGAGAAGACTCACGTCTCAAATTACTATAATCAGGGATCAAAGAGGGTGGGGATATCACTAAAGATATTATAGAAATGAAAAGAATAATGAGAAAATAATATGAATAATTGTATATAAACAATATAAATAACTTACATAAAATGAAAAAAAAATCCCTAAAAGACACAAACTACTAAAACTGAAGAAATATAAAATGTGAACATACTTATGACAAGTAAACATTTTAAATTAATAATCAAATAATTTCCCACAAAGAAAAACTTAGGACTAGATGATTTCACTGGTGATCTACTAAATCTTAAAAAAAAAAAAAAAATACTAATAATAGTACCAGTGGTTCACAAAACCTTCTAAAAAAAAAAAGAAAGAGAGAGAGAGAGGATAATACTTCTCAGATTATAGGAGTCCAGTAGCATTCTGATACCAAAACCACACAAATCTCAATATTCTTTATAAATATAGACTTCTTCATACAAAATACTAGTAAGAAGAACACAGAAATATATGGAAAGAATTATATACACCATCACAAAGTAGAATGTTTCCCTAAGATTCAAGGTTGATTTAACATATGAAATAAAATATATTAATAGACTAAAGGAAATGTCACATGATCATCTCAATAGATGCACAAAAGTCAGTACCCTTTCTAAAACCAGTCAGCAAACTAGGAACATAAAGCAACTTTCTAAACCTAATAATGTCTGCAAAAATCCCACAGCTAATAGCACACTTAATGGTCAAAGACTGAATGATTTCTTCTCTAAGATCAGGAATTAGAGAAGGCTGTCTATCACACCACTTCTATTCAACAATTGTTATGGAGGTTCTAGCCAGGGAAAGAAATTACAGAAGGAAAGGAAATACATGTATCCAGATAGGGCAGGAAGAAGTAAGACTATCTCTATTTGCTGATGCCATGATCTTGATATAGAAAATCCTATGGAATACACTAAAAATCTATGAGAACTAATAAAATATTGTTAGATCTAATAAGTGTGTTTGACAAAATTCCAGAATACAAGGTCAACATAAATCTAAAAAAAAGTCTATTGTATTTTTATATGCTAGCAATGAAGTCTCAAAATTAGGAAAGCAACTAAATTTTCTTTAGCATCAAAAACAATACATTACTTATGAATAAATTTAAAAGAAGTGCAAGACGAGTACAGTAAAAATGACGGAACATTGTTGAAAAAGTTAAATGTCAAAGTTAATTTAAAAGATCATATGGTCATGATTGAGTTAATTTAAAGCCAAAAATACTTTCCAAATTAGTCTACAGAGTCATTGTAATCCATCAAAATTCCAGCTACATTTTTTTACATTTTGAAAAGCTGATCCTAAAATTCATATGGAAATGCAAAGAACCCAGAATAGCCAAAACAGTATCATGTGTTTCTGGCATGAGGGTGGAAATTATTATATATATAACAGATAAAATTTTCATCCTTATGCTATATATATTATATATATCCCATTGTGTTTGTGTGTGCGTGTGTGTGTGTGTATGCAATACTAATGAGGATCCAGAAATAACTTACATTACAGTTAATTGATTTTGACAGGTGTGCCAACCCAGTTCGGGGTAGGGGAGAACAACTGTCTATTCAACATCTGGATAGCTTCATGCAGCAGAATGACGTTGGAGCCCTACCTCACACTATATAAAAAATAATTTATAATGGATTACAGATCTAAATATATTAGCTAAAACTGTAAAACAGATTAAAGAAAATGGGAGTAAATCTTTGTGATCTTGTATCAAGCAATAGTTTAGTAGATATGACACAAAAAGCAGAAGCAATGAAAGAAAAGTTGAATTTGATTTTATCAATGTTGCTTATTATTATCAATAAATGTGTGTTTCAAGGGACACCATCAAGAAATCAAAATACAAATCCAAAGTGGATGAAAGTATTTTCAAATTGCATACTTGATAAATGTCCAGTGTCTTGAATATATTAAAAAACTCTTATAACTCAACAGTAAAAAGAAATTTTAAAATGGGCAAAGGGTTGAATAAACATTTCACTGAAGAAGGCTTGCAAATGGAAAATAAGCACATAAAACGATGTTCAAAATAATTGGTAATGCAGGAAAGGGAAATGATTATAATGAAACACCTTTCCATCCCTATTAGGATGATTAAAATAAAAAGAATGACAAAAATAATGGGGAGCCTGAGTGTCTTAGAGGATTAAGTGTCGGATTCTTGGTTTTGCTCAGGTCATGATCTCAGGGTCATGGAATCTAGCCCCGCATCAGGCTCTGCCCTCAGTATTGAGTCTGCTTGTCCCTCTCCCTCTGCTCCTCCCCCAGTTCTGTCTCTCAAATAAATAAAATCCTTGAAAAAGTGAGAGAAATAAGAATTGGAAATGATTTTGAGAAACAGGAATCCTTAAATACCTATACATTGCTGGTTGAATTATAAAATGGTGCACTTCGTATAATAATTTGGCAATTCCTTGGAAAAAAATACTGTTCTTGAGGTATTATTGGCATACAATATCCATTAGTTTCAGGTGTACATCAAAATAATTTGATATTTTTATACATTATAGAGTGATCAGCACAATAACTCTAGTTACCATCTGTCCCCAAAGTTATGATAGTATTGCTGACCATATGCCCTATATTCATTAACATTCTTATGACTTATTCATTTTATAACTCTAAGTTTGTGCCTCTTAATTCTCTTCACCTACTTTGCCCACCTCCCCAGCCCCTCCCCACTCTGGTCACTAAGTTTGCATGTTATACCTAGGAGTCTGTTTCTCTATTATTATTTTTGTTTTTAGATTCCACATGTAACTGAAACCATATGGTATTATTTTTTTATGACTTATTTCCCTTAGGATAATACTCTCAAGGTTCATCCATGTTGTTGCATATAGCAAGATTGAATTTTTTATGGCTGAGTAATATTCCCTTGTATATATGTATACCACATCTTCTTTATTCATTCATGTATTGAGGGACACTTAGGTTGTTTCCATATTTTGGCTATTATCAATAACGCTATAATGAACACAGGGGTGCATATATCTCTTTAACATTTTTGTTTTCTTTGGATAGAAAAACCACAATTGGAATTGCCAAATCATATTATAGTTATATTTTTAACTTTTTCAAGAACCTCTCTATTTTTTCTCATAATGCCTACACGAATTTGCATTCCCCCTGACAGCAGATGAGAATCCCTTTTCTCTACATTGTCACCAACACATTATTTTTTGCCTTTTTGATAATAGACCACCTGGTGGGTATCAGCTAATACCACATTGTAGCTATGATTTGTCCTTCCTTGATGATTAGTGATGTTGAGCGTGTTCTTAATACATGTCTTGGCCATGTGGGTGTCTTTGGAAAAATGTGTATTCAAGTCCTCTATCACATTTTAATCAGGTTGTTTGTGTTTTGTTATTAAGTTGTGTAACTTCTTTAAGTATTTTAGACATTAACCTCTTATTACCTGCATTCCTCCCCTCTCCAACAAAATTACATTGTACCTGAAGATAGACTGTAAACTGTCTGAGATGCCACAAACTTTGAGTGCATACAATTCCAATTAGGCTATGTGTTGCTGTGCTATTTGATGTATTCATGTCTAGTTAACATGCAGGGTTAAATTAGTTTCAGGTGTATAATGTAATAATAATAATTCAACAATTCTCTACATTTCTCACTGCTCATCAATATAAGTCAAAATGCCGTATCTTAAAATGCCACAGTCTTAGTCACCATTATGTGTTTCCCCATTCTGCCACCCACGTCTCCTCTGGCAAACACCATTCTCCATGTTTAAAAGACAATTTTTTGGTCTCTTATTTGTTTGTTCATTTGTTTCTTAAATTCCACATGAGTGAAATCCTGTGGTGTTTGTTTTCTCTGACTGACTGACTTCATTTAGCATTATATACTCTCTAGGTCTATTCACATTTTTACGAATGGCAAGATTCCATTCTTTTATATGGCTAATAATATGTGTGTGTGGGGGGGGGGATTATCCTTTCATCTATTGATAGACACTGAGTTGCTTCTATGTCTCAGCTATTATAAATAATGCTACAATAAACACAGGGGTGTATGTATCTTATTGAATTCCTGTTGTTTTTTTTTTCCCTTTGGGTAAATATCCTGTAGTGGAATTACTGGTTCATACGGTAATTCTATTTTTAGTTTTTTAGTAACCTCCATACTGTTTTCCACAGTGGCTGCACCAGGTTGCATTCCCACCATCAGTGTAAGAGGGTTTCTTTTTCTTCACATCCTTGCCAACAACTGTTGTTTCATGTTTTTTATGTTAGCCATTCTAATGCTTAATGTGATATCGTAGTTTTAATTTGCATTTCCCTGATGATAAGTGATGATGAGCATCTTTTCAGTGTCTTTTGGCCATCTGTGTGTCTTCTTTGGAAAAGTATTACTCAGGTTCTCTGCCCATTTTTAATCAGATTATTTATTTTTTTGGTGTTGAGTTCTTTTTTTCATATATTTTGAGTATCAGCCTTTAATAGGATGTATCATTTACAAATACCTTCTCCCATTCAGTAGGTTGCCTTTTTGGCTTTTTGGTGGTTTTCTTCACTGTGTAAGATCTTTTTATTTCAATGCAGTCCTAGTAGTTGAATTTTGCTTTTGTTTCTCTTGCCAAAGGAGACATACCTAAAAAAAAAAAAAGAAAGTTTCTATGGCTAATGTCAAAGAGATCACTGCCTATGTTTTCTTCTAGGTATTAAATTATTTCAGGTCTCACATTTAATCCATTTTGAGTTTATTTTTGGTGTATGGTATAAGAAAGTGGTCCAGTGTCAGTTTTTTGGGATGTAACAACC